AGTCACTGGTCAGATGTCTGGTCTCCATTATTCCCCAAACTTAACACACAGGATGGACATATAGAATATGTTCTTTATGTAAAAATTCCTACGGCTTTGAATTTGTGATAACAAGATAATGAAAGCCTTGAAATATTGGTGATTTATCAATCTACATAGTTTGAGAATCCTAGTCTTATAGGCATAGTTCTGATTCTTTGTTGAACAAATAACAGCTTTTTGAAAAAAGGATTAGCACATTCCAATTATTCAATACTTTAATATTTCTCATAATGTAGGGCTAGAAGAACAAATTGGAGATTGTCCTTGATTCTGCTATGCGTCCTATGCATTAATCCTGTACATTAGAGAAAACTAATTGACTTCCATGCATAAGTGATCTCAGAATCTATTACTTTTACCCCCAGAATGACTAAAATAGCTCCACCCCTTTTGTGTGTACTTGTGACATCATGAGCCGTGATGGCGCAGTGATTAGAATGTAGTACTGCAAGCTATTTCCGCTGACTGCTGGCTGTCAGCAGTTCGGCAGTTCAATTATCACTGGCTTAAGGTTGACTCAGCCTTCCATCCGTCCGAGGCAGGTAAAATGAGGACCCAGATTGTTGGGGGCAATATACTAACTCTGTAAACCTCTTAGAAAGGGCTGTAAAGCACTGTGAAGTGGTATATATATATAAGTGCTATTGGTATCATGAAGCACATATAAAAGTGCAAGAGCTTCTGTTGCATCAACATGATGCTGCTTTCATCATTTGTGTTTACCTTGACCACCTTGCAGAAGTTGTTGCTTTTTTCAACTTATTCTGTGATTGTTATTTGCTTGTGGGATTTAAGGAAATCACATCATTCTCTTTTCTCACATATCTTACATTCTACTTACAGCCCCATGAAGCTTTGAAATTCCTGTTTAGGTCAGTGCCGATGCAATCACTGTTAGAGTTATTGGAACGGTTCTTTCTCCACATACGGTCCTGTAAGGCATAAATGAAGTCCATTATTTCTGATGTTTATTTCTTAATTCTGAAAGTATTATCTATTTATTTGCAAACTATGTACAAATAATATAAGTGGGTAGAAAGACTGTGGTGCTATATACCGCTTCCAGACATGTTCTCTTTACATTATCTTATCAGTGGTATAACTTCCAAGTTACTTTTAATTTTTATCTCTAAGTAAAAATAATGCATATACATTAACTTTTGGAATTGCTTACCCACTACATTTATTACATTTTAAATCTGAGTTGTTGTTTGTCAGTGGTCTCAGTAAGTATAATCCTACTGTCTTGCTGTACTGACATCCAAGTAAGGATGACATTTGAGTAATTAAAAGATGTACTCATATAAGAGAAGACTAATACTCCTATATGCTGCTTATTATACACTATAATTTCTGATGGATTTCTTCCTGCTCTGTATGAGGAAGGGAGCTATAATCTGTAAAATATCAGATAACAATATACTCATTTGTTTTAATTTGCATGTTCCATTTTTTAAATCCTTGGAAGTAATTAACTGATATGAAGACTAATGAAGCCCTAACTTATGATTTTTGCTGTCTTTAGTCAACAAAAGGATAACATGAAGAAGCAGCTATGCTTTTAATATTAATTATGGTAGGAAAAAGAACACCAGTGAAGGACAGATAGACATATTTCTCCATGATGAATTTCATTTTTTTGGTGTTAGAACACATATAACCTTTACAGATAGAGATTATATTCTAACACACTGGTAGTAAGAAATCATTGTTTAAAACTTTCTACTGTCCCCATAATTCATTTTAGCAAAAGAAGTGGTGTTTTCTAGAAAGGAATAAACATGAATAATACTTTGGTCCATGTCCAGACATAACCATCTATGTTGAACACTGGGAGAACATAGAAATTTATGTTGTCTAAGAGTAGTGTCATGTCCTTGTCTATTCCATAAGTCGTGACAGCCTGTAACAGAAAAAGTACACATATTAAAATAAAACAATGTTCAATAAACTGAGAATATTGGAAACTTTGCAATATTTATCTTTTAAAGTAGATTTTCATGCTGTCTACCTCATCTATCTATAGTAGCTTACACTAATGAAATCTATAATGTAAATAATAATTTACAATTATTTTACAATATTTACATTGGTTGTGTTTTTTCTGGCACCTACTGATGTTAGAATTAGTTATGGGCAAATTTCTTTTTAGAGGAAAAGCAAATATCATTCTTTCTTGAATGCTTTCTCCTGTTTCACCTTATATGGAAAACTTCCAGGAGGGCTTCAGAAGATTATTTAGGGTTGGAGAGACTGGCATGGAAGAATCTAAAACAAACCTAGAGGAATCAGATCAAGAGATTATCATGCCCAATATTCTTTGTCAAACTGTGGCCAACCAGATGCCTACAGAGAACACACACACACACACACACACACATACACAAATATGAGGGCTAAATCAGCAGATTTCTAATAGCTTGTACCTTTCAGTTCCCCTCAAATAGCTGCTTTCTAAAAAAGAAGGAAACAAAGAAGGCATATCCTGCAGTCAACACCCAGATAAGCAGAGAACAACACTAGATAAACAATCAAGCAGAAAACAATAGCTTCATCAAACAATTATGAAGAACAAAACCACTTCCCTATCAAAACTGCCAGGCAAGTTACTGAATGAGTGAGCAAAACTTACCTTTACTTATACTAATATTGTTATCTAGCTGGGTAATGAAATGCCTGTGAACAAATAATCAAGGGGGACCAAGGACTTTATAATTCAACTCAGCTACATATATTAACTTCTAGTTGAAGATGCACACATGCAAACTGATGCTGTAGTGCCTGTCCTATCCTAACCCAATTATTTACTTAGGGTGAATATATTCCTGAGTTCATGACAGTTTTGTTTATGAATATTTTACTAACCTCCTTTACAAACCATTGGCAAAAGGCTGGTGAGATCCACTCTCGTGCATGAATACCACAATCCATAAATATAGCTTTCTTTTGGTAACTCTGTTTCCCAACCTGTTTGCAGGGAAAATTGAGTTTTTACAACTTTCTTATGTTTACTTTGCATAATAACTGATCTGTTTCTGGTGTTAGAATTAATTTGCATTTCCTTTGATTTGCTTCTAGTTTTATTGAAATTTTCAGTGAAAATTACTTATTTTAGGGAACCAGACATGTAAAATAGTATTCTGAGAAAGTTGTGTAATAAAATGCGTGTACATTTTACTACATTTTAAAACAAAAGAGATGAACATTTGATGGAGTGATTTTTTAAAATGTATGACATTGAATGAACTAGATAGGTTTACTCATACTTTCCATTGTATATTAGTTTATCCTGGTGTCAGCTAATGCAGTTCAATACTACAACTATCTGTTAATCTACTTTCTCATTATGCATTGGCTGTAGATATACACTTATTCATTAAATGCTTGAATTATACTGACGCTTTTACCTTAAGGACATACATAGGCCGCTCCTCATAAGTCCTTCCAATCTCAATCCTGGAGATTAGTTTGGCATGTTTTTTGGCCATTCGTTTAGTCCAAGCAGCGATCTAAGAGGTTCACATAATAATAGAATTAAGAGAATCTTAAAGGATTAGAATATGCTTTGTTATTTTAAATTATCTAAGTAAAGATAACAGATAATCAGAATTGGAAGGGACCTTGTAGGTCATCTAGTCCAACCCCCTGCCCAAGCGGAAGACCCTACACCATTTCTGACAGATGGCAGTCCAATCTCTTCTTGAAAATCTCAAGTGATGGCGCTCCCACAATTTTTGAGGGCAAGTGTTCCATTAGTTGATTGTTCTCACTGTCAGAAAGTTTATCCTTATTTCCAGGTTAAATCTCTCCTTGTTCAGTTTCCATCCATTATTCCTTGTCCTACAGGCACTTTAGAAAATATCTTGACTCCTTCCTTTGTGTGGCAGCCCCTCAAATATTGGAAGACTGCTATCATATCTCCCCTGGTCCTTCTCTTTACTAGACTAGCCAAGCCCAGTTCCTGCAACCGTTCTTGATAACCGTCTCCAGTCCCCTAATCATCCTGGTTGCTCTTCTCTGTACTTTTTCTAGAGTCTCAACATCTTTCTTGTAATGTGGTGAACAAAACTGGATGCGGTACTCTAGGTGTGGTCTTACTAATGCTTTATAGAGTGGTATTAGTACCTCCCTTGACTAGTAATTTTAAAAAAAGTTTCTTTCAATGCATAATACCTTTTCCCATTCATTATATCTTGTGTAGAAATACTTCTTACGGAAATGTTTCCCTCCATCCAACTGTTTCTCAATTTCATCTTGTAGATTGTGGAATAAAATTCTGTGATAGGAAACATAATTATATTAAATATGTAGCCTTGCTTTCCCTGAAATCTTTTTCTTTTTGTTTAGGATTTCTTTGGCCCAGGTCTTCCTACAGGCTCACATAGCTACATTTAAAAGTATTCCTTCTTTCTCTCTTTTTCGCTTTGTTAAAACTTGCATTATAAACAAGTGGACTACCTCCCCCAGTGGTGGGATTCAAAATTTTTTATTACCAGTTCTGTGGCTGTGGCTTGGTGGGCGTGGCAGGGGAAGGATATTGTAAAATCTCTATTCCCACACCACTCCAGGGGAAGATTGCTGCAAAATCCCATTTCCTCCGCATTCCACTAACCTGCTTTCCAGATCCATTCTCATGTGCAGGGTAACAAAAGAAGATCCAACTGATCAGCTGGGACTTGGGAGGCAGAGAATAGATGGGGGCGGAGCCAGTCAGACGTGGTATTTGACGGTTCTTCAAACTACTCAAAATTTCCACTACCTTACCAGAACTGGTAAGAACCTGCTGAATATCACCTCTGTGTTTGGCTTACATTAATCTGTACATTTATAGGAATAATGATAGGGAATTTAAAAAAAGTAGATTTAGTATCCACAATTAAATGACCAAAGCCTCACTTTTAAAAAAGGGACAAGACTTTGATGATACAGTTATGGTTGCCATCTTGATATATCTGAGGACAGGATTGATCCAGTGACTGGCAAGGGCTGCATTGTATCTTACCCCTAAGTGAAGCAATCACCAAGCCACTCCCTTCCAGAGGTGGTATTCAGCAGATTCTGACCAGTTCTGGAGAACCGGTAGTGGAAATTTGAGTAGTTCTTAGAATACCATCTCTGACTGGCCCCGCCCCATCTATTCTTTGTCTCCCAAGTCCCAGCTTATTGGCTGGGTCTTCTTTTGTTGCCCTTCACAGGGAAATGGAGCTGGACACCAGGTTAGTGAGGTGGGGAGGGAATGGGATTTTGCAGTAACCTTCCACCAGGAGTGGGGAGGGAATGGGGATTTTACAGTATCCTTCCCCTGCCATGCCCACCAAGCCATGCCAAGCCAACACCCATAGAACCAGTAGTAATTTTTTTTGAATCCCACCACTGCTCCCTAACCCTAACCCTTCCCTATGATGTTGTTCTGACCAAGCCTTCCGAGACCATAATTAAGCACATGCTTAGTTAAAACAACTCTTGTTTTATTTCAATGCTGGGAATTATGTTCCCAGCCTGTAATGAGTTCCTTGAGATAAGCACTCATCTTTCTTTCCTTTGAATTGCTGCCAACAACAAAAGTGCCAAATTAACTATAAAAAACCAACCGAAGTACACAGTCCACACAGAGCTTCAAGGATTAATCCAAACAGAACGAATGACTTTGCTTCCTACCTTTGCTTGTCCTTTATACTTTATGGGAGGGGCAATCACCTCCCAGCCTTACTCCCAACTTGCCCCTTTTGTCTCAGCTGTTCTTGCATTCGAGCAGCTCTGCGCACATGCACACTGGGAACAGGCTCCCCTGGTTCCTCTGCCTCGCTGCTGCCAGACTCCAGAGGCTCCAGTCAGCACACCACTCCCAGATGGTCCTGGGCCCATCTCTGCAGGACCCTTATCTGAGTCCTCTCAGACTCCCGGACTGGTCCACATTCTTCCCCATTGTCTGATTCTGCTGCAGTCTGCACAGGCTGCTGGCGAATCACAACAGATGTCACATAGTTCCTGGGCAGTTGCTTTAAAACACTACTTCCAAGCGCTAGGTCACTTTTTACTTGTATATAAATATTTATATTTCAAGATTAATAGTTTATTTTTTTCCTCAAATTGAGCCTGTTCTGTATTTAGGCAGCCCAGTTGAAAATCCATTTTTGCATGCCTGTGCAATTTATAAATTTCAAGGCTGCCATCAATGAAGCACTGATGAGATTTCAGGATGTAGACAGACCAATCAGTAGTCTTGGAATTTGATCAAAATGGCTCAGTCAAGGGAGGAACCAATGAGGAATCAAATTTATTGGGCTCACAAGACATGGACCAAACATAGATCAGCTTTCAGAGTTTATGTAAGAGCCCATTCAGCTTAATTGAGTTGCCTGTGTGCTGCTGAGAAGTACGCCACAAGGCAGCCCAATCTGTCTCTGAAGATACCATCTACAGTTGCTAGCAAAAC